CTTTGTGTGGTATAAGATGCAGAGAAGTGATGATACCATTTTTTTGTGGTATATTATGCAGAGAATAGATGACATCACCTTTATCTGGTATATCATGGAAAGAAGAGATGAAACCAGCTTTCTGTGGTATATCACGGAGTGAAGTGGTCATACCAAATTTCTGTGGTATGCCACTCAGAGAATTGATGACACTGACTTTCTGTGGTATATTGTGATACAAACGTTTTGTGGTATATCATGCAGAGAAGTGGTAATACCAGCTTTCTGTGGTATATCATAGAGAGAAGTGATGATACCAACTTTCTCTAGTATATCGTGGAGAAAAGTGATAACACCAACTTTCTGTGATACATTATGCAGAGAAGTGAAGACACCAACTTTATGTGGTATACTACGGAGAGAAGTGATGCCACCCACTTTCTGTGGTATATTAGGGAGAGTAGTGGTGATACCAACTTTCTTTGCTATATCATAGAGAGATGTGATGATAACAACTTTCTGTGGTATTTCATGAAGAGAAGTGATGATAGCACCTTTCTCTCAGTGGCCTATTGTGGAAAGAAGTGATGATAACAAATTTCTCTGGTATATAATAGAAAGAAGTAATAATACCAATTTTCTGTGGTATATTGTGGATAGTAATAATGATGCTAACTTTCTCTGGTATAAAACGGAGAGAAGTGATTTTACCTTCTTTCTGTGGTATATCACGGAGAGAAGTGATGATACCAACTTTCTGTGGTATATTGATGATAGTAGTGATGATACCAACTTTCTGTGGTATATTGTGGATAGTAGTGATGATACCATCTTTCTGTAATATGTCAAGGAGAGAAGTGATTACACCAACTTTCTCTGGTATATCATGCAGAGAAGTGATGATAACAACTTTCTGTGGTATATCATGCAGAGAAATGTTGATACCAAGTTTCTGTGGTATGTCATTCAGAGTATGGATGACACCAACTTTCTCTGGTATATCAAGGAGAGAAGTGATTACACCAACTTTCTCTGGTATATCATGCAGAGAAGTGATGATAACAACTTTCTGTGGTATATCATGCAGATAAATGTTTATACCAAGTTTCTGTGGTATGTCATTCAGAGTATGGATGACACCAACTTTCTCTGGTATATCATGGAGAGAAGTGATGATACCAACTTTCTCTGGTATATTATGGAGAGAAGTGATGATATCAACTTTCTCTGGTATATCATGGAGAGAACTGACGATAGCAGCTTTTTCTAATATATCAAGGAAAGAAGTGACGGTACCAACTTTCTCTGGTATATCATGGAGAGAAGTGATGATACCTATTTTTTTTTTTGGTTTATCATAATCTAAATTGCAAATAAATCTCTTTGTAGTGTATTGTGGTGGACACATGTGTCAAGCCTTCGCCTGGTCTTCCAGTATGAATAGTAACGAATCTTTCTGATTCAGTTTCCATGAGGAAATATATAAATTAAAATGTAGTTTTTTAAGTGATAGTACTGGTTTTCCATATTTTTAGGTACCTCGTCTCTTTCTTCTTTGAAACTCACGTAACATGACACTTTTTTAAATCTTTCATGTCCATCGACACTTCTACAAAGCTTATAACAGAGGCTTCTGTATTTTGAAACTACTATTATAGCAAGCTATCTGAGGTCTTATTGCTCTGTAAGTGACTCATGTAGTGTTGATAATGATTAAAGTTCACCATAGTTATCTAGTTCACACTACAACAGTTGTTATTCATGCAATTTGATAATATAAGTAGCATTTTAGCCACTAATGTGTTTGATAAGCAATGGTGTTGGGCGAAAGGCCTCGTCAGCACTGGATATGGCAAATATAGCGTGGCTGGCATATTCCTTTATAATCTTCTTTGGTTTTATTCTTCAGTCTTTAGAATTTGATAGTCTCACATACTTTGTAAGTCGTGACATTTGTTCAAAGTGGTGTCCGATACTTTTAGCAATGCATTGTATATAATGTATCTTTGTAAACACTTCAACAACTGCTTGTTCTCAGTAACACCAGTGATTTTGAAATGTTCATCGTAGCTTTATAGTTTAATCACTTACAATGGACTTGGGACTGATCATAGTTGCAAAAATAAATGAAATATATTAACTCTAATCTCATACAACTGGATGTGCTAATATCTAGGATTCAGCTATATTAACTTTGTTATCCTAATCTCTGGTGGCTGTTAATATTAACCGGATCAACGCTAACTTTTATGACTGATTTATAGCTTCAGATGGGACAAGTTAGCGAGTTCCTACTAGTTTATTTATTATTGGTGAATTTAAGTTCAGATTTACTGTGATTCTAGAAAAAAGACTTAATTTAAGTTGTCTGTGTGAATCTAAATATGAATAGTTACATATTATCTGTGTGAATCTAAATATGAATAGTTACATATTGTCTGTGTGAATCTAAATATGAATAGTTACATATTGTCTGTGTGAATCTAAATATGAATAGTTACATATTATCTTTGTGAATCTAAATATGAATAGTTACATATTGTCTGTGTGAATCTAAATATGAATAGTTACATTCTTTGACTCTTATCTCTCACTGGCCGTCTTTAAATTTTAGCATGTCAGTGATTATTAAAGGGTTTCCATTCAAGTGACAGGCCGAGTTCTCAGTGTTCGAGTTACGAGATAGTAGTAACTGTGATTACCATAAGAGAAGAAACGATATCTTGAATTAAAATCCGTGCAATTAAACCAATATCAGACCCCATTATCCCGAAAGTAAAATCTAAAGGAGTGTATAATAGAGTTAATTAAACTTGTTACACTTCAGCATCAACTTTCGATGTTGGAACTTCTATGGAAGTGAGACATTCTAACGTACCCTTCTTAATATACGTATTTTCAATGTTATATAAATTGATAATACGAGCTACTTACATTGAGTGAGTGAGTTTGCTAGATTAAATATAATTTAAGTAGAAAGTTAGATAGAGAAAGGGTTGCTTGTATGGTAATAGGATAATTCAAACGACAGATGTTTTCTCGTCTTCCATATTTTGTGAGATGTATAGTAGTAATAGGTAAACCTAAAAGTGTTTTTTTTTCTCATCTTCCATATTTTGGAAAAGATGTGTGGTTATAGGGAAACCTAAAATTGTGGTGCTTTCTTATTTTCCATGTTTTGCGAGAAAATAGGGAAACCTAATGTGCGGTGTTTGCTCATCTTCCATACTTTGGAGAAATATGTAGTAATCGGGAAACCTAACAGTGTGGTGTTTTCTCATTTTCCATATTTTGGAGAAGATGGTTGGTAACAGGGAAACCTAAAAGTGTGGTGTTTTCTCATCTGAAAAAGGAACTGCGTGATGTTTGGTTTCATTTCCTTACCTATAGAAATATACTACATGAAAAACAATAGAAAATGGTTAGAATTTGAACAACATCAGCTGTTGTAACACACATACTCAGAGAAATCCTAAATTTTTTTCTATGACGTTTGTCAACAAATATATCTTTATTCAATATGCATTTACGACTGTTTGAAATATTTTTTATTATTTCTTACAGCAAGACAACTCAGAAAAAACCACCCACCTCAAATACAATGTTAAATACAAATATAAGAAGAACCACCCACTTCAAATACAATGTTAAATACAAATACAAGAAGAACCACCCACCTTAAATACAATGTTCAATACAAATACAAGAAAGACCACCCACCTCAAATACAATGTTCAATACAAATACAAGAAAGACCACTCATCTCAAATATAATGTTTAATACAAATAGAAGAAAACCACCCATTTCAAATACAATGTTAAATACAAATACAAGAAAGACCATCCACCTCAAATACAATGTTCATTACAAATACAAGAAAAACAACTCACCTTAAATACAATGTTCAATACAAATACAAGAAAGAAAACCCATCTCAAATACAATGTTAAATACAAATACAAGAAAAACCACCCACCTTAAATACAATGTTCAATACAAATACAAGAAAGAAAACCCATCTCAAATACAATGTTAAATACAAATACAAGAAAAACCACCCACCTTAAATACAATGTTCAATACAAATACAAGAAAAAACATCCACCTCAAATACAATGTTAAATACAAACACAAGAAGAACCACCCACCTCAAATACAATGTTCAATACAAATACAAGAAACCATCCACCTTAAATACAATGTTCAATACTAATACAAGAAAAACCACCCACCTCAAATACAATGTTAAATACAAACACAAGAAGAACCACCCACCTCAAATACAATGTTCAATACAAATACAAGAAAGACCACTCATCTGAAATATAATGTTAAATACAAATACATAAAAAACATCCACCTTAAATACAATGTTCAATACAAATACAAGAAGAACCACCCACCTCAAATACAATGTTCAATACAAATACAAGAAAGACCATTCATCTGAAATATAATGTTAAATACAAATACATGAAAACCATCCACCTCAAAAACAAAGTTCAATACAAATACAAGAAAAAACACCAACCTCAAATACAATGTTAAATACAATTACAAGAAAAACACACACCTGACATACAATGTACAATACAAATATAAGGAGAACCACCCACCTCATATACAATGTTCATTACGAATACAAAAAAACAACCCACCTCAAAATCAATATTTAATACAAATACAAGAAAGAAACCCACCTCAAATACAATGTCCAATACAAATACAAATACAAGAAAAACCACCCACCTCAAATACAATGTTAAATACAAAAACAAGAAGAACCACCCACTTCAAATACAATGTACAATACAAATATAAGAAGAACCACCCACCTCAAATACAATGTTCATTACAAATACAAGAAAAACAACCCACCTCAAAATCAATATTCAATACAAATACAAGAAAGAAAACCCATCTCAAATACAATGTTCAATACAAATAGAAGAAAGACCAACCTTTTCAAATAAAACCCAAAGAAAACCCACCTCAAAAACAAAGTTCAATACAAATACAAGAAAAACCTCCCTCCTCAAATACAAAGTTCAATACAATTACAAGAAAGACCAACCTTTTCAAATAAAATGTTAAATACAAATACAAGAAAGAAAACCCACCTCAAATACAATGTTCAATACAAATACAATAAAAACCATCCATGTCCACTATAATGTTCCATACAAATACAAGAAAAATCATCCACCTCAACTATAATGTTCAATACAGATACGAGAAAAAACACCCTACTCAAATACAATGTTCTACATAAATACAAGACAAACCACCCATCTCAAATACAATGTTCAATACAAATATAAGAAAGTCCACTCATTTCAAATACAATGTTTAATACAAATAAAAAAAACCACCCACCTCAACTATAATGCTCAATACTAATACGAGAAAAAACACCCACCTCAAATACAATGTTCAATACAAATACAAAAAATGCCCACCTCAAAAATAATTTTCAATACAAATAGAAGGAAAAGCACTGACCTCAAATACAATGTTCAATACAAATAGAAGAAAAACCACCCACTTCAAATACAATGTTCAATACAAATACAAGAAAAACCACCAACTTCAAATACAGTGTTCAATACAAATACAAGAAGAACCACCCACATCAAATACAATGTTCAATACAAATACAAGAAAGACCACTCATCTCAAATATAATGTTCAATACAAATACAAGAAAAACCACCCACCTCAAATACAATTTTCAATACAAATACAAGACCACCCATCTCAAATACAATTTTCAGTACAAATACAAGAAAGACCACCCATTTCAAATACAATGTTCATTACAAATACAAGAAAGACCACCCATTTCAAATAAAATGTTAGGTACAAATACAAGAAAGAACAACCACCTCAACTATAATGCTCAATGCTAGTTCAATCTGATTCAAGTTTGGTGACTGTACTAGCTGTTCATTGTCTCCATACCCTCTTTTTCCAAGAAATTGCTAACCAGCTGACTACAGAGGGAGAGTTCGTTACCATCCATTAAACGAAAGTCCTGACTAAGTTGCACCTTTATAGGCATCATTAATGGTTGTAATATTGTATCCCTGTATCGTGTCACATACAGATCAGTGTGTTCACTAATATACCACTGACACCATACACAAATTTTTCATCCGGGAAACTGAATTTGGATGTGTCATTTCAAATGAATATACACATTATATCTGACCGAATTGTGAGAGGATTTATTTGTGAACAAGATATTCTCCCACGTGTCGTTTGACTAATCCATGTGTTATTAAAGCGACTGAAGATAGGCGTTTTGGGTTAAAGTAACTTCCACAGTTGGGTATGTGTCTCTATGAAGCTGTTTCTGATTGTTTCCTTACTGTCATGTTGTTGGACTAAACTGAAGCCCGCCAGTTGTGTCTAGCCTATCCTGGCGAATAGATTATGGACAGTCTTGATGGTCTGAAAATGAGTCCATATCTTGGTAATTACACTTTGTGATGCTTGGAGGCACTCTACAACTGCCTGTTGTGTCTGGCCGACTTGGAGCAGACTTATTGCTTTTCATCTCATAAAAATATTCAATTTTCTTTCTTAAAGTCCTTAGCATGTTTCACTACCAATCTGGATCTCTTCACAAACTATACTGTTGTTCAAACTGCTAACCGAGAACTCCCTGTTTTCCTTCACCTTTATTTACCACTGAAATTTGGATATCACAGCACATGATCAGTTACCTACACTTATTTTACATAAACAAGAACTCGGGCGCTACTGACATCACTTAATAACAGTAGCCATAATCAGAATATATAAAACTCAGATTATCCCTTAATCGTTTTGAATAGCGTACATAATTTAATAATGAACGTTATTTTTGTTGTCCTTTTTTAACTTCGACTGCTTGTCTTACCGTTGTCAAAATGATATATTGTTTGTTTTTGTTATGCTTTTCGAACAATGTACTTGTCAAGTGGTTAAGGCGCTCGCCTCGCAATCTGAGGGGCGCTGGTTCGAATCCACACCAAACAGGCTCGCTTTTTTAGCTGTGGGGGCGTTATAATGTGACGTTAGTAAAAATGTAGCCCAACAGTTGACGGTGGATGGTGATGACTAGCTACTTTCCCTCTAGTCTTACACTGTTAAATTAGTGACGGCTAGCGCAGATAACCTTCCTGTAGCTTTGCGCGAAATCCATAACAAACAAGCTAACCAATCACTATGCTACTCTCGGCCCAGTGTATAAGATAGATTAATATCAAAAGCAAAACAGTGGACTTGGATGATTTTTTTTATTCTTTTGCAGTTAATGAACTAGAAACCCAACTTAGTCTCCTTTGCCACTTCGGCTCTTTCTCAAAGTGCATGAATTCAAGTTTAGTTTTTCTTCTTCTTCACGTAAAAGGATGTACAATAGAATTAGTTTACTGAAACAGTTGCACTACATTTACTATTATAGGTCTTGTACGATAATAATGGTTCACGTGCATGTTTAAATGCGAACCAAACAAACACGTATATTCCATCACGATAAAATTTACATAAATGAATAATGGCAATAGCTATAACAATGAGGAAAGTTATAATAAGTTAACAGAGAAAACGGAAACTTTCCGATCTTCTCGCATCGAAGTTTCTGCCTTAATTTTACGGTTACTATTTTCAGAAGTCCTTATTGACATTATCTCTGATAACATTCTTCGACGGTACTTCTAATGAAGGTAAACGACAGACTACTGCGGTTCCTGTGTAAAGAATACTGTTTTACTGGGTGGTCGTTACTAAGTAAATTAAACAATCGTGTGGAAATAACTAATAAAATATTATAACAGCTAATAACTCATAAACACTACTAATTTATATCTATATTTATTCAGTTATTAGAACATATATATTCCGGTAAGCTTATCGCACTTCAAAAAAATGAATTTATAATTTTTCTGGTTAACCTACATGTCTGTTTTTAGCCTTTAATAATGGGTTTATCTGTTCTGTGTTTATAGCCTTCAAAAAAGGCGCCATCACCTTTACCATCGAGAAAGAAATGTCATCACGCCAGCAATAAATGACGTCATAACTTGTGCTTGTAATTTTCAGTAAAATACACCATTATGTTTAGCCCCCTCCAACCCCCAAGGAGCTGTATCCCATCATACGCGTAATTAATTAAACAAAAAGGATGACATCATATATATCTTGAAAACTCTTAAGAAAGGACTTTTTCATCAGTGTAAAAATTTCAAGAAATGAAGTGGTTATTTACGCGTTTAATATTCTAGCGTTGTAAGTCCGCAGACATACATCTGTGTCACTAGGGGGCGTCAGTGGACTTACGGGTTGACCTACAGAGTGACGATGATCAAGTAACAATAAATGTCTTGGTAATATCAATATGTGTTTTTGTGTTTCTGTTAGTAGAGGATCTAGGATTTTGAGAAGGAGGGTGCGGTCGCCTGGATGGGCTCCATATAATTTCAGCATACATCAGTTGTATTGATGTAGCCAAATGTTATATCAAACTTATAAATATAATGCGTAATGGTAAGTTTAGTCCTCATGTGAGTTTGCGATGAAATAAAAGAGAAATGTGAAGGTGAAATTATACGTCTATTGATCCTATACATTTCATACAAATTTCAATAAATACTTACTCGGATAGAATATTATCATATGACAGCAGATTCACAATGTACTTACAAAATCACCAATAATTCTCTAGAGCAGAGATTCCCAACCTTTTTGTTCCTCTGTACTCCTTGGCCTTGGGCATTCTGACAGGTTCCCATGTAGCCCCAAAAATTAAGGATCAAAAATCGAAAAAACTATATTGATTTTATATTATTTTATTATGAAATCTGTATGTGTGGACTACATAAGGATCTTATAGTATTGATAATATCGAT